ACCAGGAGCATATTGCACCTTGGACACTTCCATCCTTAGGTGCCGAAACAACTGGGGCTGGTCCTAGCTACACAGCCCTGTTGGCTTTCTACCTGCACAACTATTCGTTCCCCTCCTCCATTTATCAAGTTGCTTTGGGGCTTGAAATTTGTTTACATCAAGGAAAGAAGGGGCAGAGTAGTTTTCCATGGCTTCCTCACCCTACTGTCAAGCTCACTCCGCTGCTAAACTTGCCTGGAGGCCTTCTGCTTGCTTGTGTCATGTGTGTTGTGCTGACATATTTCTCTAGTTTACAGATGTGCTCATGGTTTCAAAAATGTTGGCAACCCCTGACTATTAATCTTTAAGGTGCCACAAGGTTTGGTTCTTTTTTGCAGACCAGCACAGCTGCCTCTCAGTTAGTATAAATCTGTAATATTCCTTTTAGAAATTGTTGAGGCAATTTCAAGTCATTTTCCAGAATATCAAATGCACTGTGTAAATTCATCCATATTCCTTGTAATTATTTATACAAAATATAATTAGGATGAACATTCGTACTACTTTACAATCATGCAGACCGATATTTTATGTCCATTTCAATTAATCTGGATAAGTACAATTTCCCATTTTTATGATTTACATGCAGCACTGATTATCATCTACTGAGAAGACAGCTTTAAAAATCAATGTTCAAAGTTGCTACACATGAAGGAAAGAGTCTGAAAGTGCTGCTGTAAGCTATTGCATATGTAATGGAAATGGATTTATTGCTTCAGCCTCATATTTCCCTTTATTATTAAATCATTAAAGGTCTCCTAAGTTAAATTCACGCATGGAAAGATATGTGCTTGTGTAGCACAGAGAGTATGTACAATGGGTGTGTATAATATAGGATATTGATTTTTCAGTTGGTGAGCAGGGACCCACTGCTACTGGATCACAGGTCGGTTGCAGTACCAGCACTACTGCAAAAAAAAGTTGCCAATTAAGACATAAGTCCCCCAGTGGCATGTTTAAACTAAAGGTTAGTCCTCAGTCCGAAAAGACTGAAGTCTGCCCTCCTTGAGTTACTAAAAAAGTGAACTTTTTCCTTTAAGTGATTTGAATTCTACACCCATGAATTAAACCAAAATGTCAGCAGCAACTGCTTAATCCTCATCAATATGCCCCCATTAATAAGAATAATAATTAATAATATAATTTATTATTTATACCCCGCCCATCTGGCTGGGTTTCCCCAGCCACTCTGGGTGGCTTCCAACAAAGTATTAAAATACAGTGGTCTGTTAAACATTAAAAGCTTCCCTAAACAGGGCTGCCTTCAGATGTCTACCATAGCCATTCTTGTGCTACAGAAGCCTAGATTAAGCATTGTGTGATGGCAATGAATGCGTCTAGTTTGAAAAATTAAAGTAGCAGCCACAGAGGGTCACATCAGGATCAGGATTGCATTCTGCAGTGTTCCAAGGGACAAATAGCAGCTTCAGGAGAAGAACATTCCAGTTAGGGTTGCCGTATGTCCAGAATTTCCCAGATGTAGCTGGGATTTGGCTGTTGGAGACAGCGTCTGGGTGGAAATCACTTCAATGTCCGAAGCTCAACAACTTTTGTGTCCGGATTTTCACTTTGTGAAATATGGCAACCCTAATTCCAATGGCACTGCACCATAGAGGTTGATCCCTCCCTCCCTGCAGGCCACAAACCTAGGTTCCCCCTTGCCCTGCCACCTGTCATTAGCTGCTGTTTAAACATATTAAAACTAAACATGTTAAAAGCAAACACATAAATAAGATCATTTCTAGTTGGGCCCTGAGTGAAAATGGAAGAGAGGTTTATTTTCCAAGCAACGCATGCTTCAGCTAAAACCGCATTCAACATCCCAAGGTTGGTCTAAACGTGTCTTTTCAGTCTAAATGTAGCTGCTGAGGGAAGTGGTGGACTCTGGTCTCTGATCCAGATTATGGCTATCAAACAGGATAGGAGATATAACCCTCCCCCACTTCCATTCTTCACTGAAAATCCCTGCCAAACCTGCTATTAGCAACAGAGGGGAGAATTTTCAGCAAGTATATAGCATGGCAGTAAGGGTTTAAATCTTTCACTCCCCAATGCCATGGTCTCAATACAGATCACTCCCTACCAGATCACTCCCCAGTTTTGTTTTTGTTTTGTTTTAATGTGGGGACATGAGACTGAGAGATGCATTGACACCAACAGCTTTATTCTACGCTGATAGTTGCAAACAATGGGTTTAGCCATGCTGAACATACCATAGAAAGAGACTCAGTGGCTGCAATCCAGTAAACATTTATTTGGGAACAGGTACCCTTGAACTCAGCTATTGAACAAACGCTCTTGTGTGAGTGGCTTGTATGCAGGTGTGGCCTGCAACTAAAAGGATCCTTCAGAGTAATAACCCAAAGACCCATTTCCCTGGCAGACTCCAGAGCCAATTACAATTGGACATACTAAAGCCCCAAAATTAGACTGAGGGCCACTTACTGACAGGAAATAACATTCTGGAGGAGCCTCATACCCTCTGCTAAGGCATGAAAGTCCATTTTATAATGTTTGGTGAAGGATGATGGAGATGCCCTGCAGATTTGGTGATGACCTGTTCCTTCAGATCAGCGGCACAGCAATGGGCACCCGCATGGCCCCACAGTATGCCAACATCTTCATGGCAGATTTAGAACAACGTTTCCTAAACTCCTACCCACTCAAACCTCTCTTGTACCTGCGATACATTGACGATATTTTTATCATCTGGACACATGGTCAACAGACCCTGGACAACTTTCACCAGAAATTCAATGATTTTCACCCCACAATCAACCTTACAATGAATCAATCTATGCAAGAAATACATTTTTTGGACACTACTATAAAAATACAGGATGGACGCATAGACACCACCTTATACCGTAAACCAACTGACCGACAAACATATCTACATGCCTCTAGCTACCATCCCAAACATACCAAACAGTCCATTGTATATAGCCAGGCACTACGTTACAGCCGCATCTGTTCCAATTCTACAGACAGAGACTCTCACCTAAGAGATCTACAGCAAACCTTTTCAGAACTAAAATACCCAGCAGATGAAGTTAGACAACAGATCAACAGAGCCAAACTGATACCCAGAGAGAACTTGCTGCAAGACAGACCCAAAAAAGAAAATAACAGAACACCACTAGTCATCACATACAGCTCCCAAGTTAAAACAGTTCAACGCATCATCAGAGATCTACAACCTCTCCTGGACAATGACAGTTCTCTTTCTCAAGCTCTGGGAGGAAGACCTTTCATTGCCTACAGACAGCCACCCAATCTTAAACAACTCCTAACCCACAATAATACTACAACCAGACTTAACACGGACACTGGCACCAGAGCCTGCAATAAACCCAGATGCCAACTTTGCTGCCACATACACCCGGACAACACCATTACTGGCCCCAACAACATCACACATACCATCTCGGGACTATTTAATTGCTCATCGTCTAACATTGTGTATGCCATCAAATGCCAACAGTGTCCTTCAGCTCTCTATATTGGACAAACAGGCCAAACCTTACGCCAAAGAATAAACGGACATAAATCTGACATCAAGAATCACAAGACAGAGAAACCAGTAGGAGAACACTTCAATCTCCCAGGACATTCTATACAAGATCTCAAAGTAGCTGTTTTACTACAAAGGAATTTCAGAAATAGACTGGAAAGAGAAGCTGCTGAATTGCAACTCATTACCAAACTTAAAACAATGGAGACACCTGGTCTGAACAGAGACATTGGATTCTTATCTCATTATACATGACTAAGCCACTTCTCACCTTCTCACCCCTTGCCTTTTCCTGTAAGACCTACTACAGTCGTTAAGAGTCGTCAACAGGCTCATCAGGCTCATCTCAGCTATCTGCCAATCTCCGATTCCCACCACCCTTCTGAGTAATACCCCTCCCCACCTTCTCTATATATAGAAGGATCTGGCAACTTCTGTTTCAGTGTATCTGAAGAAGTGTGCATGCACACGAAAGCTTATACCAAGAACTAACTTAGTTGGTCTTTAAGGTGCTACAGGAAGGATTTTTTTATTTTGACTATGGCAGACCAACACGGCTACCCATCTGTAATTAGTAGCCAGGGCTGCCATGGAGGAATGGGCAGTTTCTGTGGAAGATTTGTGGCTCACTGTATCAATCTCATCTAGCCTTCTCTGACTGATGAATTTGTTTGGTTTCAATAACCAGGGTTCTCTGTATGAGCAGGCTAAATAATTAATAAACAAATATACACAACATATCTAGTTTGTCTCCTTCATATTTCCAACTGCACATTATCAGCTTTCCAACTGCACAGTTTCTGCCCTGTGTATTTTGTGCCCAACTGTACACTGAAAAGAAAAGAAACCTTAAAACAGACCACTTCAAGTGCAAACAGCTTGTGCAATCAGGGTGCTGGTTTCTTTGAGTGCCTGGCGAAAATTGAATTGCAGAGCTGGAAGGGACCACAAGGGTCATAACTCACTATAAACACATTGATTGATTGATTGAATTTATATAGTGCCCTATATATCCCAAGGTCTCAGTGTGGTTCACAAAACAATATCAACATATAAAACCACAATATATATAATCAAAATAAAAACAACAACCAAATAACACCCCCCCCAAAAAAGAACCACATTTCAAAAGGGCATAGGATGTCAATCAAATCAACTAAAGCGCTGGTTTTTCTTCTCCTGCAGCCATAGCAAGTGACACGAAGAAGAAGCATCCTCGCCACGTGCAAAGACCCAGCAGCTACTACCACTCACTTTCCCGCTCCCCCACCCTCTAGCTATTGCGCTTGCGCAACGAAAAACCCGTCGGGTGGGCGGGGTCTGGGCGGAGAGAGCTGAGAACTATCACCCCGCCTCCTTTCGCCGTGGTTTCTTATTGGCTACTGCTGCCGGCTAGCTGAGCTCCGTTATTGGCCGCTTAGGAGACCCTCCCTCCGTTGGTTGGCTCGCAAGCGCGCGAAGCTGCCCCCTTCCCCCTGTGAAGAGAGAGTGATAACGGTCGTGCGCGAGGCAGTAACGGACGCGCGCCGGCGAGTGAGAAGAAGCGCCGGGGTCGCACCTGGTGGGGACGCCTCGCGCTTTGCCTCAGCGGCTGAGGCGACGGAGTTTTTAAAAATATATATATTAAAGTAAATGTCCTCGTCGTCATAACTACAGCGGAACGAAGCTCTGAGTGGTTGCAGTCACAAAGCCGCCGTGAGGGGATGAGGCGCAGCCTCTGACGGGGCGCGGGGCTCCCTCCCGCCGCCATGGGACTGCGGGGGCACCGGAGGCAGCCGAAGCCGCGCCTGCCGCCGCCGCCGTCGCGGGTCTCTCGCTCTCCCCAGCGGAGCGTCCCGGAGCTCCGGGGAGCCCGACCCGGAGAGTGAAGGGAGCGCCGACACCGCGCGCCATGGAAGAGCGGCTGCTGAGCCGCTGGCTGCTGCTGCCGCCGCTCCTGGCGCTGCTCTTCCTCTTCGTCCTCTACCAGTACGCCTCTCCCGGCGGAGGCTGCCTTAGCGCGCCCGCCGCCGCCGCCGCTGCGCCCGATCCTCCGGCCGTTTCGCCCTGCGGCGCCGGCGGGCACCCGGCCCGGCGGAGGCAGCAGCGCTTCCCGGGGGACCCCGCGGGGCTCCCGTCCCGCCCGCCGGGCTCCCCCGGGCGCGGGTCCGCCTTCGGCCTGTCGGAGCTGTGCCGCCGCGCGCGCTTCGACATGCGCGGCCGCGACGTGATGGTGTTCCTGCACATCCAGAAGACCGGCGGCACCACCTTCGGGAGGCACCTGGTGCGCAACATCCGCCTCGAGCAGCCCTGCTACTGCCGCGCGGGCCAGAAGAAGTGCACTTGCCACCGGCCGGGGGCCGCCGGCGCTGCTGCCGCCACGCCGCCGGCAGGCGACAAGGGGGACAAGGGCGACACGTGGCTCTTCTCGCGCTTCTCCACCGGCTGGAGTTGCGGGCTGCACGCCGACTGGACCGAGCTCACCAGCTGCGTGCCCGCCGCCATGGAGCGCAGGGGGGGCTGCCCCGCCAACCGCACCCGCAGGTTAGTCCCCTTCTCTGGGTGGGTGGGGGGGGTGAGGTGGGAGTGATCATACAGAATCGCAGAGATCCAGCAGCTTAAGATCCGCTTTAAGTTGCACCCATCCGAGAGAACTAGCCTAGGCAATTTCCTTTTGCTCCAGGGAGTTTTGGGAGTCTTCCGCGACGCATTGCTGCTTTTCGATCCAGCTTCAGGTTTTGCTCAGCCAGGTGTACCAATCAAATCGGCTTGCATCTTGCCGTCGGTGATCTCGATTTTTGGCATCAGTTTCTTGGCGCCCCGGGACAAGCGTTTCCCGAGGCGTGACTTCGTGCCATTTGAAAACCAGCGCTGCTTATGGCTTCGAACGGCAGCTTGTGTGTTAACTCCGTAGTGTTTCATGCCGGGCGAGAAGCTGACTGGAATATGCATAGCTGTCAACTTTCAGATTTGAAAATAAGGGATCAGCAGCCTCACCTGTCCCGGGGACAGGCTACGGGATATCTAACAATCCGGGATAGCAGTGGGAAACGGCGCTGGAATAAGGGAATTTCCTGCAAAAAAAAAAAGAAGAAAAAAAAGGGGAAGGTTGACAGCTATGATATGCAGCGCTAGGGGAATGATGCTGTGATCATTTGGCTTGATGCATGGGATGAACTCCTGAACGTTGTTATGTGTGTTGAGTTGTGAATAAAACAGTGAGGTGCATGGTAGTGGGGGGGGGCAGTTTCCCCCACACTTGACTTTGTATCTCAGCCCACGACTACCATGCTCCTGTAGAGCCTAAAAGTGATGTGCATTGCACATAGCCAAATTACAAAACAAAAGGGGCTTCACTCGTGACTTTTGCTACAAAGTTAGTGTTTTTGCTGATCAAATCTGTAGTTGTATTACTTCATAAACTGAATTGACTGACTTGTGTCAGATTGGGATGAAAGGTTCTCAAATATTTTGGCTTAAAATATTTTTAACTGGATACCAACAATGTTATTTCAAGTAACATTGTTTCAAATATTAGGCTTGTAACTGTTTGCAAACTTATTTTTGAAGAAGCATGCATTGGCTTGGGTTCCATGTTTCTCGGCACTTCTTGGCATCATGGCTTAATTTAAAAGTAGCTGGTGCTACCCAGCTAGATTAAAATTATTAGTATTGAAACAAATGATTCCTTCAATAGGGATGGGGAACCTGTGGCCTTCCAGGTAAAAACAGATATACTCCCCTCTACTTTCTTTTTTTAAAAAACTTGAGGCAAGTTCTGCTGGTGTGATTGTAGTCTCTTTTAGCCCCTTGGTGGCAGTGTTGTGGGGTGGGGAGCTGGAGACTTTTAAGAAGTTAGCAAAGTTAAAAAAAAACCATTGGGGAGTTTACTGTATTAATATGAACATCAGTTGAACTGTAAAGTTGTAAATTGATTTTGGGGATAGAGAGATAGTGTAGCAATATGTAATTCCCCTAAGGTTTTTGTTACACTTATGCAAGTAGCATATCATTTCATCCTTCAATGAAACTTGTGAGCCATTCTCTGCAGAACACCAGAATTTAAGATACTACAGCAGTGGGTCTAACTGGCTATCTCTCTTGCTCAGCCATGCAGCACTTGTACTGTAGACTGGTCATTCAGTACCTTGCGGAGAGTAAAGACTTGGCTAAGGTCGATGATGATAGCGAAGCGTCTTAATGGGCTATGCTTACTGAGTGTGCACCGAAAAACTGTTTTGGAAAAAAGGAGGAATTTGAGAAGGAAGTGCTGAAAAGCTTTTCAGCATATCCAAGAAAACTTGTTTTAGTTTAGATTTTTAAAAAATAAGATGGGAAAATGTGCCATTTTTCAAAATATACTCATTAACATCATGAAAGGTACTCCCTGGTGTTTATTTTTAATTTAACTTCCTAGTTTTCAAATGACAAGATTTTGACAGATTTTTTTCTTAGCACTTGGGGGTGAAAAGAAAGTAATTTAAAACTGTTGTTGAAACATTTCATTCCGAATCAGCTAGACTTAGCCAGACTTTGGTTGTGTGCCCCCCCCCTAAATCCTGGCTATGCCCATGATCCCTACAGCAGATAAAACTGAGCTAGGTTTGATTAGATGTAAGGGTGCTTCCTATCTTCCTACAAAAGAATGCAAGTGCCTGCCACAGGGACAGCTCTTCAAATGATGGTACCCATTTGCTATGTTTTTATTTGGACTCCCTTATCAAGGTTGAACTCCGGCTTTGCAGGATGAAAGGATACAATGCAGAATAGATCCAGGACTCCTCATCTGTAGAGGTTAGTGATAATGCCATGGGAACAGAGGGAAAAGAAACTGGATGATATATAGTATTGGTAGGCAGCTATGCTCACTACTATACCACCAACGCCATAGTATATAGTATTAAATCATTGAAGTGAATTCACATGTAGATGGAATATCAGATACTATAACTGCAAAAGAACTGTAAACAGTCCTTATCAGCAGGAGCAATGCATTTTAAGTCAGAAAGGAGTGGCTTAGATGTATGTGGCTTTAATTGTTGAATCAGGATGCTAGTGTTGTGGCTCTCTGGATCTCTCATAATATGAGCTATGGAGCATCTTGTGCAAAGCCACCATGAACATGGCAACAGTTCCACTTCAGAGTTCTTTTACGATTTAATTTAATTTTGTTTTTAGCTTCTATCAGTACAACAAAATGGCCATAACAACTAAACTGAAGCAGAGTAGCTTATAAAAAGAGTGAATTGAGTCATGATTTGCCCTTTTTCAAATTGCAGGGTGTCAGAGTTGTTCCCTATTCTCATTTCTTCTCTACTCTGAAGTGTCACCATTGGACTGCCATGTCGAGTGGTAACAAAAAGCAATTGTCCTCACAAAGCAAAAAAGGATGTGAAAACCCTTGAATACTGTTGCAGTGATTTCAGAGCATGGCTGAGAAAGTGGGTTTTGGAGCATCAATATAGAAGTACCTACGGGATAGACCAAAGTCTTCTAGGCTATCCTACTTAGATACAAGGGCTGACTAGGGTGTAGACTTGTACTCTTGCATAAAATACATCAAGAAATCTAGATTTGAAATGGCATCTAAAAAGAACTAAATACACGCTGTGCTCAAATTTACACATTCTGTGTTAAACTCAAGGTATTGCTGTGCTACTGTCATCCAGACTTGATCCTTTTGCTGTAAAATCTGGAGCGTCCTGCTAGGTGTCATTGCTAAGTCTGTTTTCTAGACATTTGTCATTTCAGCCTTATAAGTTTAAAACCAGATGCTGCCCTATGCTATGTATGAATATTAAAACAAAATAACATCACCTTTGAGAGTCTGTCTGCTGAAGCAGTTTTGGTGGTGGGCAACTGGTTGCTTTTCTACTCAAAATCATACCATTGGCCCCAATCGGAGTAAATAAGTGGCTTACAAAAGTCAAAAATAAAGAGTTTTTAAGCCTTCTGGTGAAAAATTAATTCTACAGATAACATTAATATATTATTCAAGTGAAATGACAGTGTCATTTCAATATTACCCTCATTAAAGGAAAGTTCAGATGTGCAGCTTCTTTAATATACATGACATATAGAGGATGGCCACAGGAAATTATCAAAACAGTGGAGTCTGATGTTCCAAACTGAGAGGAATTCTGGACTGTGTAGCTCTAGGTTTCCATTTTTAAAAAATCTCTGAGCTTAATTGAGTCCCATCAGAGAAAATGTTGGGTGGGGTATAAATGAATTGAGTGTGTGTGTGTGTGTGTGTGTGTGTGTGTGTGTGTGTGTTCTTCCCATCCACACGTTCCACATCACAGCTTCCTGCTGGTATGGTGCTTGCTTGTCTTCTGTGACAAGATATTATAAATTTTCAGGCATAGGAAAGAAATTGCATGAAAGACATGGGTGCTATTAAAACCTAAAATAGCTTACTGGATCCCAGCCAAAACCTTATTGGGCATCAGCAGAGCTAAGCACCCTTAGGTCCCATTAATTTCAGTGGGCAGATTAACCATGTGCATACATTTCTCTCCCACTGAAATCAGTTTAACTGAAACATGCTTAATGTTGGCTGTATTGTGCCCATTATTAGTACTTTACAAACAATGAACATAGTTTTATTTGTTTTTTATTCTTACTCTTTTTCATTGTAAGTGCTGCCTAACATTATGAAAAGTTTTCTGAAATGTTTTTAAAATTAATGCAACAGTATCTTTTTCTAAAAACAACCACAACTACATAATCCTTTTAATATTATTGCTAAGTTCTTCCAATGTTTTCTTTGCACTTTTTAGTATTTGAAGGGAAATACACATCAAATTCAAGTGGATGCTTCATAATATTTGTGTAGTATTTTTTCCACATTTTATAGGCCCATAATTTTTCAATCTTTACCGAGCCTTATATTTCCACCCTGTTTTCCCAATGCTGTGAACTTCATTTATAGGTTATAATATTTACTAGAGCTTCCATGCTTGCTTATTTGTTTATTTATTATTTACAATGGGGTATGCATTAGCATTTTGAATTTTAAAACTGTTGATCAGTGCATTCCACACTACAATGAACTACGTTAATTCAGTTTTAGCAATGTATTGAAATTAAGATTGCTCTAGTGGTTAATGAATAGTTTGAGAACTTGTGGTACTACATATTAATCATTAAATTAATGAGTTATATAAGAGTGAAAAACAGAACTTAAAACTTTTGTTCAAAATTTGAGATTGTTGAATAGTTCAATAGCAACCAGTTGTTCAAACAAATCTGTTAGTTATACTTAGAGTACATCAATTGAAATCAATGAAATTAAGTCAATTGGTATGCTCTGAATATGCCTTAGTTGGAAATCTCTCATATTGTATTCTGGAGGAAATGAAATTAATTTTAAGTAAAAGTGATATAAAATAATACATTTTAATTTTTTTAGGATAATACACATTTTAAAAGGATGCACTAGCTGACATGTTAATTGTTATTGATGATAATAATAGTTGTTGTTATTATAATAATAATTATTATACTGTGTATGCTAGTTTTTGCATGCCTATATTCATTTT